ATTCTATTATTTCAGATTACTACAAGTACACGATCCTCCAAAACTGAGAAATATAAAGATTTAGAAAAATGGAAGATAATAAAATACACAAGAAAAATAATTAATTGGGTTTTTTCTCCGATCTTTGACATATAGGATGTCAGATACAAAAAAAATAGAAGATTCCGAAAAAATGTAGCACGTCTACTTTTGTTAGTTTTGAACTAATATCACTTCCATGTTTTTAGGATTGTTATTTCTCGACGAATTCTTATACCATAGTTAGGTGCCCCTCGTATTAGACTTAACTATTTTATGAACACGTAGCAGAGCTGTCGCTATATAATTGACGCGACGTCGGAAACAGGAATCGCACAAACGAAAGCTCCGTACTTATTTGTAGTTAATCAACCCTTCGCGTAAATTTCTTTTCAATCGCGTAAGTTTAATCGATCGCCTTTTGATCAGCGGTCGCTGTTGGTTCGAACTATTCGCCATAAGTAACTCTCTGATCCTTCATGATACAATTTTAATTGAGATTTCTAGATCGCTTATGTTTTTAAAAATTATACAGAAAGAGGTGAGATGCACCGCGTTTTGCATTATCGCACATAATAATGCATCTATCTCTTTAATAATTATTAATTAAAAATCTACGTGGTCATTTGCAAAATAAAGGACTTATTTGTGGCCAAATATATAAGCACATGACGGTAGATATTGCTAGCACAACTCATCTACCGTATCGTGAGTGACTATTCACTAACCTTTAATTAGTAACTATAAATTTACGAAATTGTTGTGAAATGGTAGAGAAATATGATATTCTGTTTAATGAATTCTATCTGCACAGAACGAGTGTCATTAATTAAAAAACACCTTTTAAAAGTGCCAGTGTTATATTGATAGCACCAGTGCTTTTGCTAAGAACTGAACTACTGAATATCGCCGAAACTTTCAAAAGATACTCACACCAAACGAATAACTTGATGTTTCTGCAAATACCTGCGGTCCAGATATAGTATATACAGCAGCCAGCCATAGTGTAAAAAATAAAGAGCAGAGCTCGAAGCGACAATTTGACCTTATAAGATCGATGTCTGCTACGATAATCCGAAGCGTAAAAAATCATGTTGCAGGCCAGAATCATCAACATCAACGGCAAAGCCGAATATTTATGGCGCCAAGCTCATGCTCTGTATTTGGTGGGATCAGCTGGGTGTAGTGTATTATAAGCTGCTCCAACCCAACGAAACCATCACTGGGGAACGCTACCAACAACAATTGATGCAATTGAGCCGAGCATTGAAGCAAAAACAGCCAAATTACACGACAAAGTCATTTTCCAGCACGACAATGTTCGGTCACATGTTGCGAAACCGGTAAAGGAAACGTTAGAAGTGCTTAACTAGGATGTCCTACCACATCCACCGTAATCTCTAGACATTGTTCTTTCTGATTACCATCTATTTCGACCGATGACTCATGATCTATTTGAGCAGCACTTCCATTCTTATAAAGATACCAAAGAATGGGTCGATTCGTGGATAGTCTCAAAAGATGTGTCGTTCTCTCGATATGAAATCCATCTATTATCAGAAAGTTGGGAAAAAGTAGTGGCTAGTTGTTGCGTACTCGACGCTCTAGTTGGAGAGCGAGCGTCGGTTGCCAGACATCAAGGGGGCGTCAGGCGCCGAAAAAGCGACGCGGGGCGGGTACGGGTAATCTCGACAGGGCTTTTCACCCTCGGCGATGGAGCGAGGCAACTGGCCCGCTCGCGGTGCGAGCGCGCGGATGAAGGAGTCGACCAAACCGATTTGTGTTGGCTCTGAACGGAGCGGGATCCGTGAAGCGGGGAGAAGGGTGACTGCTCTTAACGCCGCGAGCCACTACTGCAACTGATGCCTAGCCGATCAAGATGGCTTCCGCTGGTTTCCCCGCTAAGCAGGCGTAGATGTGAACGTCGCCGTATAAGTAGAGCGCGGTGAGGAGCGATCTGCTCGCTCTTGCGACTATGTTCCCTGGTGGACATGGTTTGGTATGCGCGCTATAAGAGGAGAACGACCTCGGTCGTTTTCGTATGCTACGCCTCGACGGTGATAGCCTGTGTCGTGAGGTCACGATACAAATAAGACCGATGAGCCTGCCAGTAAATAACTGTCCGAGGGAAGAAACTTCAGTGGAAGGCAAACCGGGAGGTCTGGCCCAGTCCTTTGCACGGGACGAAAAGAAAGGAAATACCGACCGTAAAATCCAAATCGTGACATACACGGCACACGAATAAATCGCGTGAGCGCGACAGTACTGCCCCTGTCGAACGTATACACGATATCTGTAATCCGGAAGATATCGCGAATGGAAGCCCCCACCGTGTTGGAGGCTCCGAAGTAATCCGAAGTGGTCGCTCGAATCTTTCTCTCAAACGCCGATCGTATCGAGAAGCCGGGGGATCCGTGGAGTGACCCAATACCTCGTACGAGAAATGCCAACGTATCTTAGACACTCTAAAGGCAATAGCCCAACGTGCTTGCGCACTCAAAAAAGCTGTGGAGAGTTTTTACAAAAGAGTACCTCGTTGAGGCAGTAACCTGATGCGCACCAGCAATCAAAAGGCCAATGAGCACACTACTTCTATATCGCTCGTGCTACCAAAGCGGTCTACGTATGCCGCGGCCGCTCTAATATAGCGTCCGCAAGCAAAATTTACTCGCGGGTACGCCTCGCACAGTCAGGCGCGCCGCCCCGCGCCGCGAGTCATGGCGAGACCGTGTAGCGCGGTCGACGGCGAGAGAATCGTTCCCAGAGCGAGGCAACCCGGCTCTGGTGCCGAATTTTGGCGGCTGTCGATCCCGCCGGCGTTGCTCGCCGAAACAGTGCGGTGGGTTCCGCCCGATCCGCAACACTAGTGATGGACAATATTTTGAATGATCAATTTGTAACCATTTTGTCACAATAAAGCCGTAATTTTACTAAAAAATTCCTTAAAGTTAATGCACACTCCCAATATTAACAAGACAACTGGGGGTAAGTTAATCGTACATGAGACAACAGTCGCACTCCTCTTTGAACTTGAACTGCTATTAGCAAACATATACTCGTAGAACGCCTAAGATGATTTAATCCATGGATTACACGATTTGTTCGGCTATGGACAGTCTTTCAGTTAACAACACTTCTCTTGGACTGTGTGTACTTGAATTTATAACTTTTTGATATAAATATACATATAAGTGAACAGCATTACTGTAAATATCATTGACGTAGGTTATGTGTTAGTAAAGGGAAAAAGATTTGTGCGTTAAGAAAGAAAAAAAATTTGATTATTTGTCTCTGATAAAAGTTTTCAAGGACCTACATATCAATATTCATGTAATTCTTATTAACTTAATTACGGCTCCATATGTTTCATAATTGTAATTAATAACATGGCCATTCACCATAAATCATGTTAAAAGTAAAACATATGGACATACGACGTTGTAATTGCAACAGAAAAATAGCAGACCAAAAATACGACATGGCCTTCTGTTTATGTATGTATGTTATTATTTGTAATTCATAACGTTGAAAAAGAATATCTCTCCCCTGTTAAAAAATTGCAAACAAAGTAGAGATCCAGGCATACACATACGTAGATATTAATATTTCCTGATCGTATTATTGATTTATTATTTAATATTTTTATTATTTATTTATTATTATAAATGGACGAGTTCTTTTATATAATAAATATTAATAGACATCAATATCTGCATCGAAATAATCTTAGTAAAGAAATAGTCACATATCGAATCTGTCACAATTCTATCGAGATGAGGACGTTTTCTCATCGGAGTTTGCTATCCATTCGGCCAGTATTCTTCAGTATTCTTTTAATCGCTTCTCCAGTTCTTTTCTTGTAAAGTACCCTGAGTACAGTCGATATTTCCTCAAGATCTTCATTGGATTAAATATTATCGTTAAATTATTGGCTTTTCTACTCCATTTCATTTTTCGTTTTAATCTTTCCTCTTTACTTTCATAAAAAGAAACTCCCATTGAAAAAGAAACGAAGAGGAACGATAAGCTACTTTCGTACTATTTTGTTTTTCTTTTTTGCTGTCTGTCAAAAGAAACAGTATATCATCAAATAAAAAATTTTTCTAACTTTTAATAAGGAAGGAATTCTCTCTTCTCCTCATATCTTCCACATACTAGTATGACGCTATTAATTTCCTCTTTATAACTACGGTCGCGTATAATTCAATCTGCGATATCAATGTATGATACGTCTGCGACATGTTACTTTAGTCATAAAAAAATTAACTTATTAACACCGAAATAATTATATATATACAGGGTGTCCCAGGCCGCCCGGCTTACCAAATTTTTCGTAAACGCGACATTGTAGAGAAAAATGTTTCAAACAAAAGTTATATGGTTCGACGGAGAACATAAGAAAGTACCACTAGTTTGACCTTGAGTGATGCAGCCAAAGGTCAGATCAAGGTCAACTTTGCTTTTTAAATAGAAATATATACTTTTTATTATTAGGTGTACAACTTTACTTCCGCCGTTTTTCTATAGATGGCTTTAGCGGTAAATGGTGGTCGAAATAAATAAATCATAGACGTCATACAATAAACTTAGGCATCTGTCAACATAACCCCATAGAAACATTAGCCGATTTGTGTCTGCATCGTAAAGTTATTCTCGATTGAAAATGTCAGTTTACGAGCCAAATTCTCGTCATTTGCGGGAAGTTTTAATTTTCTGCTTCAATATGAAGAAATCTGCGGCTGAGTCTCATCAAATACTCTCAAATACTTATGGTGAGGCCGCTATTAGTGAAAGAACGTGTCGTGAGTGGTTTCAACGCTTCAAGAACGGTGATTTTGACGTCGAAGACCGGCATAGCGGTGGAAGAGAGAAGGTTTTTGAAGATGCAGAATTGGAGGCATTACTTGATCAAGATTTGTGTCAAAATCAAAAAGAATTGACACGATCATTGGGAGTGACTCAACAAGCCATTTCAAAACACCTCAAAGCCATGGGAATGATTCAGAAGCAAGGAAATTGGGTGCCGTACGAATTGAAGCCGAGATGTTGAACGGCGTTTGTTTGCTTGTGAACAGCTGCTTGAAAGGCAAAGACGGAAGGGATTTCTGCATCGCATTGTGACTGGGGGCGAAAAATGGGTTCATTACGATAACCTCAAGCGCAGAAAATCATGGGGAATTCCCGTCCATGCTTCCACGTCAACGGCCAAACCGAATATTCACGGCTCCAAGGTCATGCTCTGTATTTGGTGGGACCAGCTCGGTGTAGTGTATTATGAGCTGTTAAAACCGACTGAAACAATCACAGGCGATCGGTATCGAACGCAATTGATGCGTTTGAACCGAGCATTGAAAGATAAACAGCCGCAATACAACGAGAGACACTATAAAGTGATGCAGCATAACAATGCTCGACCCCATGTTGCGAAAGTGGTCAAGACATACTTGGAAACGTTGAAATGGGAAGTCCTACCCCACCCGCCGTATTCTCCAGACGTTGCTCCCTCTGACTATCACTTGTTTCGATCAATGGCACACGGCCTGGCTGACCAGCAACATAGCTCCCCTAGCGCGGGGAGCTTGGGGCACACTGTTTTAGGGACGCGAGGACTATACCACTATCCTGACTAATTCGCAAACCTTCTCTAATCTTTTTGTTTAATGACTTTTGGCTTCGCTTCCGATACTCGCGACCCGAGACGCGGAGCGCACGCAAAAATGTTTCGAGTGGAGTCGCGCCTTGTGACGGGCGCCTCTCGGGCCGCCACGTCACAATACATAAAAGTTTAATCGACAATTGAATCGTTAAAAATACGACAAATAAATATAATTAGAGATTTATGCATTTTTTATCCTATTTCAATAGTCCTCTATTGGCATAAGATCAACATTCTAAGTGTAACTAATTACAACTTATAATAATGTTGCTTACAATAATTATTCCTTATATTGCGATTAACATTTTACTACAACTATATTTATTATCTTTATAACAATATAATAATATTTGATTAATTAATTTAATTAATTAAATTAATTAATTAATTTAATCAATTAATTTAATTTAATTTAATTTAATTAATTTAATTTAATCAATTAATTTAATTTAATCAATTAATTTAATTTTATCATGGTAAGGATTATCGGTAACTATTTTGGCACTTTATATGTAAAGTTCCCACTTCTCCGTACAACATAAAAATTGTAAATAACTAATCAAGATTATTACAGCAATGCAAGATAAAGACTACAGCATATCGTGTGCTTTTCGTGTTAAATCGCATGAGAACTACTATATGAGCTAACATGCTTGTTGCAAAATCGGCAAATTTGTATGTGTTATACGTGCCAGCATGCTGATTTTCGATAATAGAACTGGTGTTATTTTTATTGCGTAATTTAATGCTAGATGAGAAGTTAAATCACATGACATATGCGATCCAACAATGCAGGATAATAAATTATATCATCTTAGATGTTAAATAATGCAGTAGCTAATAAAATTATGAATCAATAAAATGGCCTTATATAATTTAACGTGTCCTTGCTGGAAAACAGTTTATATACTTAAAAATATCGCCAATATATCATATTTTTCAGTTGAGCAACGATAACTTCTAATTGTAATTCAGATGTATGTGTATTTGTATAGATATCTGCTTCCCGTCCTCTGCGCACTGATCTACTCAATATTCTAGTTATACACAGTATGTCATAAAAGTAACTGTGAGTAACTAGATTCTTCTCTTTTGGAACACCATCTATGAATGAATATATTCATTTTGAAGCTTGAACCTTCAAGTAATAAACCTAAAAATTTTATATCGAGCGAACATCTGTGTCATAAGTTTTGGGGATCAGTCTGACAGTACCTTTTGTGCGCGCGTTGGAAAAACGTCATGGAGCAACGAGTTTAATATTACATTTTGTTTTAAATTGGACAAAACTGTCGCGGAAACGAATAAAAAATAAAATGAAAAATGATCCAAAGTGTCTATGATAGTAAAGCTATGAATCGTACTAATGTTTTTAAGTAGTTTAGGCTATTTCGTGATGACAGGGAAAGTATCAAAAACGAGCCTGGAGCGGTCAAAATCAAGTCTCACTCACAAAAACATAAAAAGAATTACTAAAATTCTTCGATCGGTGTTCTCAGTCGTTTATGAAACAGGATTCATCGAATTCCAGCAGAATACCGAGAACAAGAGTCTTGACCGTTGCTGGATGATAATGCGCCCAAATAAAAAAATTGTATGCGACTTTTTGGCCAAGAAAATCATAGTGCTTCATCACCCCATATTCGCCAGATTTAGCTTTCTGCATATTCTAGATATTCTCCGATAGCGGGACTTCGTAATTTAGAGGGTAGCTGCCGTCGCCTCTGCACATCGCGATTTTCCTAATCAAATCCGTAGACGGGAACTTGAGATCGTACGCCAGTCCGAATTTTGCGAACATATCGATTAAATGCGTGGTGTAGTTTACCGCACTGATATCTATCTCTCCCGATCTGTAATCCCAAGGGAAGACGTGGTGATAATTGTGTTGTCCTTCCCCGAATGTCAGCGCGCTGACTAATTTGTTGTCCGCCGGCCTTATATGCCTGAAAGAGTGATGTGCGAATGTTTTATGATAGAATTGTGAAAGTTATATGCTTTTCTTAGAAATAAATTTTTACCATTAGAGGTCATTAGGATGACATAAAATATATTTGTTTCTCTTTAACTTATGTGCATCAGTTGAGACAATTCAGCTAAAAAGAACAGATCTATTATAATACCGTTGGCCGTTAACAAAAGCAACTCGTTATTCATTGATCTTGTGATTACTGTCTCATTTTGAAATATAACTCGTGATTATTATCGTTTATTCATTATTCAAAAAGTAGCGTGTCGTTATATAATTTCTTTTTACTTGCAAATGAGAACAAGCACTGTTGTTACAGTGAAGTCATAAGTCTAACAACGAAAGTTACATCAGTGTATTATTATTGTTGTAATTATTATTGAGAATCACATAGCGATGTGATATTTATTTGTAGATTTAACATTTCATTGTAATAACAGCATTTCTGCCTGTATCTACTTCCCTTCATTATTTCCCACTTATTTTTTCTTTGCTATTTTATTGTACATTACATTTATTATTTTTATATTGCCAAGAACTTTATTGTTTTTTCATGTTTTTTTTTTTATTTGAATTTATATTACATTTCTTACAAGTAATGCATCACTTCTCAATCCTGGTGTCACATGTAAACGCGGCTTACAGCTCTATGCATGAACGCAAAAAAAATCTCAGTTGGTGCAAGCGAATAGGAAACAACTGAAAATGAAATGTCAGAAGCAATATCTTTGTTTTGAAAACTAGTATTTCTATTATCGCAACCGTCTGAACATTCAGCGATATTAGAACTCGGTTGAAGCAACTGAGAACAATTGAACTATACAGAAGCCTCATAAAGGAATTTTTCCGTTCCTACAGCTGAGTATTCGTCTAATCTCTGAGCAACCAAAAATTCGGTTGCACCAACAGAATTGTTTTTTCCGTGTGCATTGCGAGTATCGCATACCTGTTGTACGGCCTGTAACCCCATGCGTGGGATACGCTGTTGAAAATCGCTACGCTGTTTAGAGTAATCATGTACCGTATAAACACCTGAGAGATGATAGCCCTGTCCCACATTTCATTCCAGAAGTACACAGGCACGATCGTAGGCAGGATGAAGCCGAATATGAGTTGCAGCAATGAGAAATATCTGAAATGTGTGTGGTGTAGTTAAAAATTAACCCGCTACACCATGGTACACGGAAAAAAATATCAGTGTAATTGAATAAGACCAGACGAGAAACTCATTGACGGGATATAATATCTCTGTCACCGTGACCAAAAATATTTATCTGAACAAACAACTGCACTAAAATTCGAATAACTAAAAACAATTGGCTGAATAACCTCCTACAGAAACCTCTCTGTCCTTATCAAGTTTTTGTCTGGTTTCCACGTAAATTTAGCTAGACTAATAGTCGTTTTATCGTGTAAGTTTTAATTATACGGGATATAGGATTAGGATATAGGATTAGGATAACACCAATTAATTAAGTAATTTAATTTATGAAAGAATTTGCGATGATGCTTTTGCTGTGGATACATCTTAGTTGATAATTAATTTTACTATATGGTTTCCGTGCTACTAGAGTGTCTCATCTATCAGCTGCGGAATATATGATGTTCAATATGAGGTGAGCAATATCTAAATACACTTACTTCTCGCTAAATGCTACGACAGGATCCGAGAGAATGTCCGAGAGATCGAGCTTCTTGCTTTTCTCGAGCAGTTTTGGATGCTCCTTCATCATTATCCACCCGACATGCGAGAAGAAGAAACCACGGTTACGGTTGTGAGGATCGGCGTCGGTGTCGCAATATTTGTGATGCAAATAATGATTCCTCACCCATTTGTATATCGAATTCTAGAGGCAAACAAATAGACAAACGTAAGTTCTTCACATTATTATTATCATCTAATTATAGGTATGATCCTGTTGCTTAACCTAAATTTATACTGATGTACAATAATTATCACGATGCAATATTTAATGCAATATTTATTACAAATTTAAAAACAAGATTGATTTTTCGTAAATTATCGAGTAAGTAATCGCGGCAAACATTTTGATTGCAAATAACCCGTCATAAAGAATCATTATTGCAATAATTTGCATCGAGTTTAAGACTATTGCTGCAATTCTAAGCAAATATACGAGAAAATCATTAAATCGTAAAGTCGTAACTTATAAAAAAAAGGAAAATCGTAGATATTTACGAGTTATCATATGACATACAGTCCGCATATAATTGCAAATCTACTCATAAGTTGTTACAAGTTTTACGAGAATAAGTTACGAGTTTTACAATTTTGTGTAAAATTGCAGTATAAACTTGCCTGTCCGGCCGCAGTGTAGAATAATGCCAGTAAAATTCTCAGTGGTAGCTTAGCTTTGTAGGACTTATGACTCCAAAGTCGATGTGCGCCGCCGGACACGCCAAAAAGAGCTAGCATATGCATGCCAAGTACTATAATAAAAGGGAATAGCAAATAAAGGCCACCAAAAGCTAATTAGCACAACTAACTAACACAAATCAGTGCAAGATTATATTGAGGACATTTTATAAAACGATTCAAAGACAAATTTAATATTTAGAAAAAAGAACTCAATTTTAATTCTTGATATACAGCAGTTGCAAGATATAATAAGTTTTGCTCTATTAAAAAAAGAATAAGTATTAGGACCTTAACTTAGTTTCCGCCCAAAAAATACTGAGAAAAAGCATTTATTGTAAAAAATTTATTTAAATTATTTCAATGAAAGTATTTTCCATCACTTTCTACAACTTTTTGCCATCTTTCTGGCAACTGGGCGATACCATCTCGATAAAACGATGTTTGTTTCGAAGCAATCCATTCGTCCACCCATTCTCGCACTTCTTCAACATTTCGGAAGCGTGT